TATATAAAGTCTGAGTGTAAAAATCAATGAGTTTGTCTACTAATCATACAAGTCCTTGTATCGCAATTGATTAGTGGTGAATTGCCGGTATAATTTTATTAGCGACGACCACATGGGAGGCACTACGCTCATTTCATTGCTATTCGCGCATTTTCTTTTTGTTATGTTTTCTTGCTTCGTATCTGATGCTACACTATAAAAACCTAAAGCCGCAATATTTTCCTCGAACATTCAGACTGGACCCAAGCTAATGTGGAGGCTGGTTTATACATGGGTCGCGCAGAATACGCTATCAGTCGCTAATATGTGGAAGGACGTGATGAGCCCTCGGGTGAGACATCCTTTGTATTATCTTCGTGTACATAACTATGGTAGAACTGGTGTATGTATGTGTTCGCATATTCGGACAGGACATATATTTTAAAAGGTACAGTGTCCGGTTTGCGGTGTGATTGATTTCTATACGCACATGTGCTGTGATTCTCGCATTTATTGACAAATTGATGGTGGCACAGGCAAAGACCAATTGTGAGTGCTCCGCTGCAAAGCTCTCGAGAATTTTTCCAAAGTGCGCGCGCAGATCTATGTACCTGCAGTGTCTACGTATGACCTACAAACGCATTTTTGCCCGAAACTGTCATACTCAGCTTCGTACTTCATGCCTTTGTGTTCATTCTGCGATCATTGATACGCCATGCCGTTCTGGCAGAATCGATTTGCGGTTCCCTGGATGTATCATGGTTTCTCTTGTTCCAAGTTGGTAATATCTGTATCTGATCTCATACATTATAGTTTATTTGGACTAGTATCGTAGAGTCAGGCTGTCATCTCGCGCTAAATTCATTGCACTTGACTATCTGTGGTCATATGCTTGCCGATTGGAGTTACCTGGCTTGTATTCTGTTCTCCAGAGTTCATTTTCTAAGGATTCCTCATGCATATAACTTGGATCAAGTATTAACCTCGTTCTTATTTAGTATCAAACTGAATTTTTGTAATTTTGAATCTAAAATCTTTTAGGCGAGGCAAGCATACTACACTAAGCAGGAGTTTCTACCAGATCTGAATAATGAACGAAACCATTCAGGACCTCCCCGATACGCACATAATATGATACGACTCGAACAAGCATATTTTTTCGGGGGCCCAGACGGTGTGTTTGGTTCTTTTTTTTTTTGCACCATCTCGACTCGCACGTTTCCTTGCTCTATTGCTATTTTAGTTCTACAATCGTACATCCACTCCACAAATCAAAGTGGGGGCTTAGTAGATTGAATGTCTCAATACGCCTCGCTCTCTAATCCACTCCTAGATCATGAGATCATGCCTTGGGAAAGCACGATCTTCGGCTTCTACACCTGCAATAGCCCCAACAACATAGTACCGATGGAGCGGCAGCCGGTGTACCGCAACGATGCGTTTGGGCTGCGCACACTACACGAGAATGGTCGGTTGCATCTGAAGCCAGTATATGGATTGGAGCACAATGATTGGATACACAATACAGAGTTCGTGATAAATAATATCATACCTTTGATGGTATGAAGGTGGTCATTAAATTCGACGACCAGTGTGCTATTATTGCCTTCCGCGAGCCTGAGGGTCGCTTCTCTCGTCGCCTAATGTGCGGTCTACCAGTATCTACCGAGCAAATGAACCCTAGCAAATAATATAGCCCATCAACGACCTCAAGTCAACTCATGTCCAGATCGACGATAGCCGATGTTTTATCCTAGCCTGCTTGTATTCAGTATGGTTTGTAGTCTACTACGGCGAGTAAACAGACACGGCATTTACAATGAATGTGGATCTTGCTTTAATAAAGTATACTACCTTGTATATTTGCAATTCAGCATGGTTCCTTTTCGAGGATGGTTACAGCTCAGTGGAATACACCCGACTGCAACCTGCATAAACTGCGTGTTAAAAGTAATCGTATGGCCAAAATTACTTGGTAAAATATATGAGGGCCTATATTTATGATAATACGTATATTCGCCTGCTAATTTCAGACCTGACAGGCTATCGTGTGCCACAGGCATCACAGGAGAATGTACTAGGCTGTAAATCTATCTTAACCTCCACATGCTACGAACACCCAACGAGCTTGACTCAAGCTAGTGTCGGCTGGAAATATTTCGCACTCACGCTAGCATCGTACTGACACTATGTCGCACTTAAGTCTATATTCTATTGCTATTAGCTCGCACTTTCGCTGACCTCGGGCTAGATTAGTAAATCGCATTATTTGATACGTGACGGTACTATGTCGCACTATATATCTAACATCGCGCTGGTCGGCTGATGTTGAGCACATCCTCCACCTCACACCCCGGGCACTTCATATCGCCCCCAGCAGCGCGCATGGTCTGTTGCTGAGCCTTGGAGAATGGATGCAAACACGATCCACACAGCACCGATCCAGCCACCTTCAGATCGACACCGCGCACACTTACACGGTCGTCAAACACGAAACACTCTCCTTCGTAGTGGGTCTCTTTCTCTATTTGCTTATACTTTTCCTCGTCCATCTCTAGTGGCGCTCCCGTGGTGTCTGTTGGCTGTGCATCGGTTGCTGTAGATTCCTCGACCGGACTTTCACTCGCCGGTTTGTCCTGTTCTTCTGTGTTGTCTTGATTATCTTTGATCAATGGAAGCACCTCTTGCAAGTAATGCAGAATGCCCCCGTTCAGTTGGTATAAGTTTTCACTGTGAAAGCCGGCTTGCTTGAAACAGAAAGCGGCCTTCTCACACCGGACTCCTCCTGTACAGAACATAACACTGCGAGTACACAGGTGCGAGACCAGGAGGTAATCCATGAGCATCATCAAATATCCAAAGTCGACTGAAACCCGCATAGTATTGTTTGAGATAAGAAAATTGAAGAAGTTGCCGGGTGCTCCAATGATATTTATAAGTAGCTCCACCATACCAGAACACATGTTTCATGATATGTACATATGGTCAATTGTGTGCGATGATATACAAATATGCACTGGCGTCTACACACGTACACGCACTAAATATGCCACAAAAGATGCGCAAATGATACTTCCATGCATTTGATACACTTACATGTCTTTCTTCTTGCCAGTTTTCTCCTCCTCTGCCTAAAAATGGAAAAAGTAAGCACAGATGAGTACCGGTGCATTAGCAGAAAAGACGATTAACATTACGACAGGCGTCATCACGTGGTCACACCTTAGACCGCCACCCTCACTCATGAGTTATAGAGTAGCTACGTGTGAAGATGCGCCTCTCCCTTATTTGTTGCCAGCCGATTGTATTCACAGCTGCGCCAAATATGAGAAAAATCCTAATCTGAACAACTAGCGGAGATATTACTACCGCGATCCATACTGTACGTGATAGCGAAACAAGGTACGACAAGGCGAGTGAACAGAAAAAACACCTGCACACCGTGCACGCACAATATGGAAGCATTCAGACAATATCGATAAACTGAATACCTTCACATCCTTCAGCAGCTTGGACTCTTTCACTGCTTGTGGGAACTCTCTAAACGTGTGTATATCGAAGTGCTTCGCATTTTTGAACGTTCCCAAGACCACTTCGTAATCGTTGCGCGTGTCCAGAATTAACACATCCCTGTCTTCATCTAGCCACTTCTTGAACTCTTTTGGCTCCAGATGTTTGGCTGGTGTTTGTGCAAGGGCGGGATTGGCCTACGGAGAAAGTTACAAGTAGATCAACAATCAATCTACACACAGCCCACAACAAAATTTCATACCAGGCAGATACATAAATGTCACCTCATTGTCTACATCGAGAGTCCCCCAGATTATACTACATGAGCAACGAAAGCATTCAGTGCGTACACTCCATCAGAAAAATGAACTCAGCAGCGTTACCTCGTCCACACCCATCGAGATGACTTCCTTCTTGAGCTTCACAAGGAACCGTGTTATCGACAACTTGGTATCCAGAACGGCTGTGCGAGTCATTTCCATGTCTTTGTAATGTACATTTTTGATCGCGTTATTGGTGACTGTCTCGAAGCAGCGCTTCATTTTCTCCACATCCGAAGCGTACCCTATAAGTGCGTAACCAGAATAGCATTCAGCCACACAATATTCGGTACACAACGAGTAATGCGCAATACAGCGCACAAGTGCATTGTAGTGTAACTAATCATTTTGCGACTAAGAAGCAGGACACCTGCGCAACAGAGGCAGATATGCGCAACTACAAAGATATCTAGCAGAATAAAAAAGGCCATGAATGTATCTGAATAAATAGCATCAAACAAGGCTAGCGGCAAAGAGTCCGAGTGTTTGTATATAAAATATAACATATACAAGAAGACAGGTAAGAACGGATAGGTACCCATACACGTTTTGTTACCTGTAGCATACATGTAAACACAGAAGAGATATATACATGTAATACGTAAGTGATTTAACAAAAATAATACCATTTCATGTGCATTCCTTCAGATATGTACACATATACTGTTATATATATATATAATATACATATACATACATACACACACGCACACACACACACACACATATATATATATATAATATAAGATTGTACACACGTATATATATATATATAATATATAATAATAATAATACATAACTAAGTATATATACTATCTATA